GCGTGTTTGAGTAGGTGTGTGAACAAAGGCGCTGTTAAGTGATTGTGGATGTGGGAATAATGAGGACACTGCCCCCCCCCCCCCGGCCCCATCACCCACCGGGGATCTATTTGTGGTATGGCCCAACCCATTGACAGTGCTAATGAGCCAGTGCATTGAATGTCTCGCACAAGGGAGGGGGGGGGCGGTGGGGGGGACTGGTAGAGGTATTGTGGTTCCCCTGGGTAGGAGCCGGACTGCTGGTTGCTCATATTAGTTAACACAGGGGAGTAACAGCCTGTCTGTGTACGCTTGATATCATCATTCTCATTCAGACCCATTCACATGCATAGAAATGATGGGAGAGCAGCGAGACCACCCGAAACACACTAACCATATGAATCTAAAGGCACAGACACACGCGCTGTCAGAGGTGCTGTCAGAGGTGCTGGAAAAAAAGAGGCCGAAACAAACAAACAAAGCTCACTCGCCCAAAAACGTTGAACAGTGAAACAAGGTACATTTGTTAACGTGGATGTAAAAGTCAGTGTTTTATATTAAATACAATCTATTTTTTGGTATTGACAGAAAAAAAAAAAAAAACCTGAAAGGTAGTGTATTGTATGGATTTATGAGTTTGTTTGTTGTTTGTTTGAGGTATGAGATGTTTTAAGTATGATGCCATAATGAATATAAATAATGAAGAATTTGACTGAGGAGTAAAATTATCAAAACAACCAGACCACGCCAGGTATTACGTACTGATAAAGTTTTATTGTGTTTGTTTGTTTTATACCTCAGAACAGAAACGCAATCATCATTAATCAGCATTCATTCTTAATTTGAGGCCTGCCAGTGGTAGGCTTTGTTCTAATGTGTATAGAAACAGCTTATCTATTTGCTTGCATAACAGATTGGTATCACATTACCGTCAAATGAAAGACAATCTATAATGTCAGCTCATGAAACATCCCGGCGGCACCCCTGATAACCACCGTAGCCGCACCCCTGATAACCACCGTAGCCGCACCCCTGATAACCACCGTAGCGGCACCCCTGATAACCACCGTAGCCGCACCCCTGATAACCACCGTAGCGGCACCCCTGATAACCACCGTAGCGGCACCCCTGATAACCACCGTAGCGGCACCCCTGAACCACCGTAGCGGCACCCCTGAAAACCACCGTAGTGGCACCCCTGATAACCACTGTAGTGGCACCCCTGATAACCACCGTAGCGGCACCCCTGTACTGCCCTTCTTCACTCCATCCCCCTCCTAATAGAAAGCTTCCGGACGGACGTCTGCCCGTACAGTAAAAGCCTTGTTCCCCTCAGCAGACCTGTTACTGTACTTTGGCTGATGAGAAAGTAAAGGGGTGGGAGGAAGAATGGGTGATGGAGGGAGGAAAAGGAGAAAGAGGGGGGGGGTGATGGCTAATCCCTATTGTCCAGTCACACCTCATTAAGACAGATGGGTGATATGAATGAAAGGGTCAGCCCCCCCTCCCCCTGGAGAGGAAGTGACCTGCTTCACTACACAGGTCACCCCACGCGCACAGCTCTGGATTGTCTCATCAAATCACGTTTGAAACACGCATGTACGATCACTGTTCGTTGTCTATAAGGTGTGAGAAGGGCTCACAGAGGATTCCTCCAAAATACTGTTGTACCACCATTTATGTTCGTTCAAAATCTTTTGCCCACATTATCTCATGCTAGCCGGACATTTTGTGAGAAAACCGGCAATTAGAATTGAATGGTCCGTGACTGGTGTATCCTGATATTATATGATATAGAAAATGTGACATTCTCATTGCTCTCTGGAGTCACTTTCAGGAATTGATTGAGGAGGTAAATGCATTGAGAATAGGACCCTCTGGGTCAGCTAGGAGATATAGGAGTGTCAGGAGGTCGAAAGGCGTGGGGAGAGAGGAGGAGGACAGGAGTGAGCGGGAGGGAGAAAGGGGTTCTTCAGGGGGTCCTCTAAAAAAGGAGATGAGGGAGAGTGGAACGGGTTCGTGACACAAGGGGGCGGAACACTTCAAGCTGTGTGGGGCGGAAGGGCATGTCAGGTTAAGACAGAACAACACACATAACTGTGAGAGCACAACATCCAGAACACACACACACCTATCATGATATGGTGAACCAGCTGACGTCTATGTGATCGGATGCTCGCTCTCTGAACACATTGGAGCTAATGAGGGTTCCAATCCTGTGTCATTCTCTTGTACTCTACGCCCGCCCCCTATTGTAATTCCCCTCCCCCAAGCCCTCTCCTATGCAAATACAGACAAAGCCAAGAAAGAGTAGACGCGTCACCAGCCAGTATAAATGCACCTCTCCTCCCTGTCATTCAGACCCTTACCAAACTATCACCCCGGCAGCTCCTAGCTCTCCTGTCTGGATCTCCTGTCTGGATCTCCTGTCTGGATCTCCTGTCTGGATCTCCTGTCTGGATCTCCTGTCTGGATCTCCTGTCTGGATCTCCTGTCTGGATCTCCTGTCTGGATCTCCTGTCTGGATCTCCTCTACTCCTCCCAGGATGACCCTTGTTTCGGTGCCATATCGTCACGGCTACTGTCCGGGGACCTCTGTGCGAGTCCATGCCTCTCTTTTTGTACTGCTCCTTCTGCTCCCAGCTGTACCTGGCTGGGGCGCCATGCTGGAAGCCGGGTCTGTGTCTAGCATCGAAGCCGGGCCAGAACCCAGAGGCAGGGCTGAGTTGGAGATGGATGTGGCAGAGGTGGGTGAACCTGAACGTGGAGCTGAGGTGAGAGGTGGCATCCTGTCTGCGGGCAGCAGAGCAGGGCATTGGGAGCTCCGGAGCTCGTCCCGCTGCGTACCTGTCCCACCGGGCATGGCACTTTGCCGGGACATCGGCTATGCCACTATGAGGATACCCAACTTGCTGGGCCACGAGTCGCCGGGGGAAGCCGTCCAGCAGAGCGCCAGCTGGCTGCCCCTGCTTGCCAGAGAGTGCCACCCAGATGCACGCATGTTCCTCTGCTCGCTGTTTGCGCCCATCTGTCTGGACAGGTAAGGGGTGGTGGGACTACCAGACTGGTGGTGGAAATGTGAGTGAAGCAAAACTGCTGTTCCTGAGAGAAAAGTCTTCTTTGTAGAGATGTGAGCGTAGATACACGTCTGGACTAAAGAAACACTTTAACTGGAGGAAAAAGTCGGATAATGATAGGTGTTGTTTAAATGGAAGTTACTAGGGCGTTGAACAAAACTCTTGGCATTCATTTTGCCGTGACATCTAAATTTCTTTGGCCAGGGCGGTTCTAGATCATTATCATGATTACATTACAAGCATTTGTTTAATGGTGCATGGTGTCTTTTCCAAGGCTCGTCTAACCAAAGCAGACATTGTTAGGAAATCTACAATGTACCTCAGAGTAGCGGAGGGGGGCTAAACGGGGAATTACACCCCACTGGGAGCTATGCTAATCCAGGCTCGCCTCACAGGAAAGAACCTGGTTTCACACGGCCATCATCAAAGGGTCTGGAAAATAGCCCCATCTCAGACCACTTTTAATCAAGACAGAAAACAAGATTACATTTCAAAGGACAAATGTTTTTAACTGTTTTCTGATCCAGCAGACTATTCTTTCTTCATTGACAAAGTCTCCTGATTAAGATAATTTCCCCAGGCTGCATTCTCATCTCTCCGGACGGCTCACACTTCCTTTGTTCTGACGTGGCTCCTTCCAACAGGTTTGTCTCGCCGTGTCGGAGTCTGTGCGAGTCGGTACGGGACAGCTGTGCGCCCATCATGGCTTGCTATGGTTACCCCTGGCCGGACATCCTTCGCTGTGACAAGTTTCCTGACGATCATCTCATGTGCATATCCTCTGTCACCAACACCAGCGTCACCTCAGGGGGGCCTACCCGAGGTGAGAAGCACGAGCAATTCTCTGTAAAAGGTCGACCTGTCGTGTACGTCAGAACAAGAACAGGATGTGTCTTTGTCGCATGTACCTTGGCTGGTAGAGGTTTACTCTCAGAACGCTAGGGTTGAGGACACGATTCATAGGAGGGAATTTAAATTGCCAATGGCTTGCAAAATGAATAACATGAAACTGTGTTGCCAATTTTAGTAGTGCCCCGGGCTAGCTGTCGAGATTGTGAACTGGAGGAGGCCTCGTCTGCCAAGGTCCTCCTGGAGACCTTCTGCCGGAGTGACTTTGGTAAGTGGATATACAACTTCCTGCCTGAGCTCAGTTTTGATCGATTTAACATGTCTCCTCCAGTCCACAGAAAATATCAGACATCGAAAAGTACTGACCATCCACCCCAATTTATTTTTGTGTCTCCTCTATGCCTGTAGTGGTGAAACTCAGGCTTACGCGGCTCACGTCCAGCCCACTGACTCTGGCACAGTTCTCCCTGGCATCTCGTCTGCAGGTCCTGAAACACGGCCCCCTGCTAGGAGGACAGATCCGGTCCCGTCTGCAGCTGTGGCTGGACAGGGACGCCACCTGTGTACGGAACATGACTCGACGTCACCCACAAGGCGGTTCCTTCCTGGTGACAGGCACTGTGCAGGGCGAACGGCTGGTGATCAACAAAGCCTTGGCGTGGAGCAAACGGGACCGCAATCTGATGGCCGCTGCCCGCAAGTGGAAACAGCACAGATGTAGAGGCTAGCAGAGACTGGGGATGGGAATAAGCCAGGCTACTAGTTAGCCGTAGGTGTACCAATTCACTCACATAGACTTAGTAAAAAATAAGCATGTCCTTGGATAGCTGAATGGATGTTTCAAGGGAGGACGCTGCTGAGAAGAGAATGTTCTGTGTTCCCAAATGTACATATCTATAAATTATAAGTAAATATCACTGATCTATATTTCTAAAATGTTGACGAAATTAAAGGAGCGTTTTGAAAGGGTAAAGGTCTGCATGTATGACGTTCTTGATGGGTTGTCAGCTTTCACTGGCTTTAATGTACATGCTGAACTACACTAATTTATACTTGGAAACACAACATTGTTCATTCATTGATTCGAGATGTAAGGGTCCTGGGTGATTTAATTGGTAGACCATTGTACTTGAAATGCCTACCTTGTGGGTTCGATTCCCACAAGGGACCAGGGCGGAAATATATTTGTCTCAATGACTACTCGGAGTTGCTCTGGATAAAAGCATTTGCAAAATTACATGAATATAAATAACTGTGCTGACTGCATACAGTCATTGCTCTGCCTGTCCCGTATTCTGTACCTGCCTTGTTCTGCCCAACTGCTTCTCGTGAGTATTGCATATAAAGAGTGAATGGTATAGTTCTTACCAAAAAGCAAAGGCTTGAGGCTAAGAGTCTTCATATCATGGCTTCTGTCAGGCATGAGTGACACCCTCTGGACATGACCCACCTGAGGAAACAGATTTGGCTGTAATCAATAGGAAGCATGAAAAAGTGGTTTCATAAAGTTTTGCCCAAAGGTCAGACACTGGTTAAGCATAGTCCTGGACAAAAAACAACTTAGATTTTTTTAGTTCTGGAATAAGCATAATCTGAGTCCCCAATATCCGGCAATATATAGGTTTAGAAGTCTAAGGTGGCTATTTATTGCCACTTGCCGGGATGAAATGCTTATTCAAAGGTACAATTGATGGTAACGATCCAAAGTGAATATTCAGGTAGGGGAAACTTAACTTGCCAGACGGGCTTAGCTCAAGTGCTAAATGGAAGCAGTCACGCATAAAGGTCCCGAGTCAGTGGCAACTAATCCGCACAATTAGCTGTAAGTGATCCATACACCCACTTGTTTAGTTTGCTACATCCACTTTGCAGCACAATTCATGCTTCCAGTTTGCCTGCCCATACATGCGCTCAACTGTCACAGACAGTTTCTGGTCGAACAGACCTAGTGTGCAGAAATCTAATTTCTCTTAGTCTCACACCTGTGAAAGCATGGACAGGCCACAGAAGTCATGTCGTGGTTTAAGTCAATAACAGGTTGATTGATAGGCTGTTTCCTTCTAACAAGCAGGTAAATCATGAAACAACCAGGATCAACCATTACATTCAAGATTTCAAAGTTTTATTTTCACGTGTACAGAGTGACTTGCATCAAACTGCACAATGAAATTCGTATGACATGGCAAGCAACAACTACGTAGTTAGAATAATAAAAATAAAAACAGAATTACAACAATATATAAAATATACATCGCAGCAAAATATGCATAATGAGTGAGAATATGGACATTGTGAAAACCGTAGATACTAAAAATACTGTAATTAAAGTGATCAGGTGCCAGTAGTGGGTACCAGTAGTTCACATTCACATCCAGCATAACACAATGGGATATGCTTTCACTCAGGGGAGTGGTTTTGAGAACATGGGGCACAAATAATGAAATACATGACAAATACAGACTCCCAGTCCACTTACCCGTATCCCCTCGATACGTGGAAGACTGAAACTTTGCCTGACATCAATGTCAGGGTCTTGCTGAGTTGGGTCTGGCTGGGACAGAGGACTTGCAACTCCGCTACTAGATGCCGGCGACGCGTCCTCATCGCTAACAGCGCTATCCCCGGGGCTGTTATTATAGTGCACGTACAGAAGCAGTCCAATTACGTTAATGATATAAACGTGGAAGAAGACCATGACCACCACGAAATATGCCCTGGAGCAGACACTGCTCTTCTGGATATGGATCCGCTCTCTGCCAGGCGAGGGCACATACGAGGGGGACGACTCCAAGCTGTCCTGAGATTCATCGTCCATTTCGGAATGTATGTGTTGCCTGTTGCTATAATCCATGACTAGCTAGTATTAAATGTCATTTAGGTAGTCCAGATGTACTGACAGGTTACTATGCTGAATGTCCTTTCACTACACTACTACAGTACTAACTGTACTGTAGTAGCGTTAGCTAGCGTTTAATACGATAGCTGGCAACAACATAATGCAGAGGTTTTAATTCAATCTCAAATTGCTATCTAGTTAGCCAGCTAACAGTTATTTCACCCGTGTTATCTAGGCTTGTTGCTAGCTACAACTAACGTCAGAGAAGTGTCACCGCTAAAACGTTAACGATTCAGCTAGCATAGGCGTACATATAATATAAGCAGGTTAGTGTATAAAGTCTGTAACTGCCTTGACACAAAATGTTGTGGTTTGTCTTTGTAATCTAATTTCATTTGATAAAATACAATTACAACCCGTATTAATTACGTGTTAAACATCCGAAGACACATCTTGCCATAGGATAATCCCTGGTTCGTGTTGGTACAGCAGCTGATAGCTAACGTTATCTCTATAGATTCGCTGTGCCCCTGACAACCATGAAAACAACCTGACAACGTCAACAACAATAAACAAGAGCTGGGAGAAGAGTCCACAGCACCGTTTGATATGTATCAAAAGAATATCGCCCTCTGGTGGACGACCCTAAATGAACATGCCTAGGTAGTGTGCCTGTGTTACCCGGGGGTTCAAGTGAAGGGGACTATGTTCTCTCGAGGGAAAGATGTGCTGGGAAAAATGTGTTCTGGGCCGCTATCCTACCTTAAAAATTAGGTATCTGGAATAAAAAATGAATAATTGGACTACTGTGTTACAAAAATATACATTTTGACCAAGTTGCAATAAATACTAGTTAAAAATAGTTTATGCTTATGTCCCTTCCGTCTTAAACCAGGGGGGGTAACATGTTAGTTACATGCTAACATGACTAGACTACTAGACATCTGCAGTTATTGTTTGAAATAATAATAATAGATTTTGGACTAGGTAATACTATCTCGAACCATGTTTGGTAATAGAGGAGGACGAAGCAAGAAGTTGGGTTATTGTTTAGAGGCAGGACTCTACACAGTGCCCCAGAGATTGCATTCATATTTGGAGATTGCTAAATCCAAAATATAGCACATTTTAAGATCAGCAATTATCAGGGGCCCCTCATCATGAAAGTAGAATAAAGTAGAAATAGCACACGACAAGTTTTAAGCAGTTTTAAGACTTAAGCAGTTTATGGTTGAACAAACCAAGTATTTGGCACAGGAAAGAAACATTTTGATTTGATATTTTGTTGTTGCAACCTTGAAGCTAGTTTCTTGTTTTGGTCACAATATTCTGATATTTTGAAGACTACCCGCAGTACTGAATACAAACCAGGCCACAGCTCTAACACAGGGACATACTTCAGAGTATTAGGGAAGTAAATGGGACAGTCGTTCACTCTGTACTTTTGAATGTCATTTACATATTCACCCTGCATGTATATATTTTGAGCACTATTTGATTTGGCATGTACCCAGGTGTGAGTAGGACATAATGTGACATTTTGGATTCAGCCAACAAGGATGAGGAGGAAAGTAAAAAAGTTACGTGGCTTGCTGCTTAATAGCGTGCAATTCCCTGAACATCTAACGATACAGATGTTCCATAAGTAAGCCGCCTGTGGACATACAGTGAGGAAAGAGAGTACATCCATGTGTAAAAGAAAGAGATTGTTTAGTTGATTATGCATTCCAGTCTAGTGAAGGAGTCGGGCGTGGGTGTATGAGTACGTCAGTCCTGAATCATTTCAGATATGTGATTCGCAAGTCATCCTCTGTGTGTAACAGGGAGGGTCAACATGGGAAACACTCGGGGGTCACAGCTGCCGGTTTGACTCACAGGGGCTCACTGTCTGTGAGAGACAAGTGGCTCTCTATGAGACACACCCCGTCAAGCATGTAAAATCCTAGGTTCACTACTACGTTCAGTCAGATATATCAACCACCACCCAGTCCACCACGCAGCCACAGCTGGTGTCCATCTTCCAAATCGCCCCCCGAAACTCATCCATTACAAATGTGTTTAATATTAGCAAACCTGATTGATAGCCAACAAAGTAATAGAAAGCCATTGCTTGATTCAATTCAACCCTTGGAAGTCAGCCTGGAATGCAACCAAAATATTATTTGTCTTGGCCAAATCCACAATATCAATAAAGGGACTAACATTTGGTGTTGGTGGTTATCAACCAAGATTCAAAATTAAATATCTCAGAAATTATTTATTATAGGAAAACGGACTTGTTGTCTTGCATGGCATTCTAAATTTCTTCAATGCTACGTATCTAAGACGACCCTGATTTGGATGACAAAATATAGTCAAATGGACCTACCCCTTCCATAGCCACTCCAAACTATAAGCATCAGAAAAAACCTTCATGAATATATTCATGCAAAGGTATAGGATGACTGCCTATGAGACCAGAACTTTTTATCAATACATACATTTTATACAAAAAAAGTATTAAGCAATAGATATATATGCAACTAAATGTAAACATACAACTGAAATAATAATGCATTTTAACAAATAATTACTAGTGACACATTTGTAAAACAATAGGAAATTTTCCATAATATTTTATGCATTTCTCTCATTTCTGTATTTCCTTGTCAGTCAAGCCCAAGATAAAATAAAACAGTGAAAATGTCTTCATAGATCCATGACACATTGTTACTCTGGAGAGTTCTCAAATAATAATACATTTTATTTATGCTGCGCTTTTCTTGTACCCAAAGCGCCAACAGGTATAGTACAAAAAAAGAAAACAAAAACAGAAGAAACTATTAAAATACAGAAGCATACAACAACTAAGACACAAACGCCTTCTTAGAAAAGATGGGATTTTCAGTTTGCAAGAAGGCTGTTTAAGTAGAAGAGTGGGGAGAACGGAGAGATCGAGAGGGCATATATGGCGTAATTAAATCGTAATTAAATGTGTATGATGGTGCAGAGATATGCTGACGAAAAGGAGTATGTGTTAGAACACGTGCAGCTGAGTTCTGTATGTGTTGCAGTCGCTTAATAGATTTTGCAGATAGGCCAAGATAAAGGGCATTACAATAATCAAGCCTATAGGTCACAAGTGCATGGACAAGCCTTTCAGCATCAGGAAATGTAAGAAAAGGCCTGATCCTAGCAGTATTCCTTAAAAGCAGACTAGTTCTGTTTTGACCAGTGCCATGCACGTTTGCTAAAACATATCCTGAGAGCAAATGTAACAATGTGTTACCGGTAGCAAAGCGATGGATATTATTGTTTTAATTTAACCAATTGAGGTCCCAAATCAACCACATTAC